TTATGTCGGGCTAAGGCCATGAAGACATCTGCTTAAGTAAAAAAAAAAAGAAGAAACATCATCGATTCAGATGCTACGGAAGACAAGTTCAATTTAACACTGAAACATTAGACGATCCAATGTGTTGAGGCATTTGTCAGACAAAAATACTTTTTCAAAAAGCTCAGTTCAATATTCAATATTAAAAACTAATACCAGATCGAATTTTAACCAAATCACTCCAACATCAGTAAATATGTGTATATATTGTTTTTTGTTTGTTTTGTTTTTTTGTTTGTTTGTTTTTTTTGGGGGGGGGGGGTGTTAGGCAATTTAAATTTGAAATGTCTGGCTTGCACCACTTGTTTTCCAATTGTTTACATGGCTGAGTCTGATTGACAAGCACTGGTTCCTGTTCTCTGTTATCCTCCTCCTGTTCTTTAACAAAAGAATGTGTTTTCCTTGTGTGAACACCACAGTTACCTGTCACTAGACAATAACAACAACAGCAACAACACATGAGTCATCCTGAACCTTTTCAAAGAAACAACAGGGAGCCCGGATTTGTTACATCAGGATTTTCGTTTTTATGTTCGTTAAAATGGCCAAGTTACATGTGTAAATAAATCAACTTGTTACTGTTGTTGAACAATTGTAAATGTTTTTATTTTTATTTTAAACAAGACAAAGGCTCTGTTTGTTGGGTGGCTGTGTTACAGCCATTTAAAAATTAACCTTTCAAGTTATACCAATGCTAATATTAATGCTATCTATCAATAGTTGAAATTACATTTAAAAGATATTCAAATGTGTTAATCACCATTGGTAAAATGATGGGAAACTCACCTAGAATGAATCAGAACCAACTCTGCAGTACCTCTGCTTTTAAAGGACTTAATTACAATCATGGATTTGAGGATTCAGGATATTTGTATTTGTAAACAAACAAACAAAAAAATAAATAAAACAACCATATCAAAGTCTATCTATATGGTCTACTCAGCTCAGCACAAACTAATTGGACTGTTTTCATTTGGCAACTCTGGTGAGTTTCCCAAATTTGTCTTACTACAGTCACAGAGTAAAAGTTTGTTTTTGGAGATGCATAGAGTGGTTGGATGGTGTACCATTTAAGGTCAATGTCATGTTTTGTTCGCTACAGTTTGAATGAACTACTTCTATGCTATGATCCTTAAGTATTTTTAAGATGAGAAGAAGTATCTTAACGTTTTCTAAACATATAAGACATTTACAACATCATAACATTAAGTAAGAAAGGTAAGTATCCCAGTCAATGAACTGCTAGGTTTAGTTCAACCTGTTTATAATGAATTAAAGTTTGCTGATACAGGGGACTAAATTCAAACATTCATTTTTTTCAAGTCCCTCTAGTGGGCACATGGAGATTTGCACTGTCTCTCAGTTGATATCTCCATTTGTTCCTTTCAACGATGGACCTCAAAAACTAAAAGTCGAGTCATAAACTGCTTCTACTGTCTTCATTACACAACCAATCGTCCCGTACTGAGCTGTCTGAAAATGTCAAAACTGTAGGAAAAAGTTTTCAAGGGGGATTTTGAAAAAGTAATTTTTATTCAGAGAGCAACTTGGTCCGCCTCAATGTAAATGAATGCAAAACTTTTCTCCTACAGCAAGATTTCTGCCTCCAAGTTTGTCTTTGCCCTTTTTGTGAACCCTGCCCCTATCCTGTTGTCTTATATATTGCTGAAAACAGCTGAAAAAAGGTGAAGCACCTCTGTCTACCTGACAAAGGAATTCATTATCCTTTTTTTCCCCAGGAGGACACAGAAGGGGGTATTCTCAAGTGTTTATGGTATGGCTCTGTTCCAAAAAACAGGAAGGTTGTGCAGGGATGTGCTAACAAAGATGAGACCGACTTCCAGACTCATGAATAAATGCTGCCTTCACGTCTTTGATTTCAGCTCAAACACAACAAATCTCCACCCACTTGACGGAAAAGTGTGGGAAAAAAAAGGCAGGAAAAACAGTTGCTGTTTTATTCAAGGTGTTTCAACAGAACTGACACAACCAATAAGCAAATACGCTGTGTTTTTGACATGTGTTTCCCACACCTAATTCTCAGGGAGAACAAGTGGCCATCTTCCTGGACTCCCCATTATTCTTACACAAAAAAGTGAGAGAAGCACACTTGACATGACAGTTATTTGGGGAACTAAAGGGAATAAAGGTCACCGAGTATATGAACAGGGGCAACAAGTGCAGTACACACGGCCCAGAGTACAGTACATTCTGGCCTCAGTGATGAAACTGGTTTTAAATTGTCCTTTTGAGACAGATATGCTGATCATGATTAATGGTGACAGGAGATAATGGCTCTCTCATTAAACTGCTACATTCATATTTCCATTATAAAGGCTACGGGTACAGCTGGCAGTCAGCCATGTTTGAATTCTCCAGCAGGTGCTAACAGCTTGAAATCATGCCCGAGTCTTGACACTGTGGGAGAAAGTAGGGTGTTTGGCACAATGATTACTAAAAAGAACAGAGAGGAAAGACATGCAGAGGCACTACCTGCTCAATGAAACAACATGGCACAAGTCATTCAACAAGAGCATTTTTTTCAATGAAAATATATCTGATAAGATTTGTTTGTTCATCAGAGAATTTAGCCACAAAACTTAAAACTTGTTGCACTCAATTGTGTCTGTAGTAGTCAAGCATTTCAGTGGGTGAAGAGGCGTGAGGTGCCCTGATAAATGATATAGTTTTAGGTCCCACATATCATCGTCATCCACCACCTCCTCCTTCTGTGTGCACTGGCACATGCAGCTGCAAGTTAGCAGACTCCCAGCCAACATTTCATTCTTTAAGGGGAAGAGGACAGAGCGGAGGATTAGGTCAGCAGCAATTATCAATGCGTAATGTCAACACCACAGGTAGTTTATCTCCCTGCTAAGTATATTCTCTGGGCTAAAGCAGCAGCAGTGTCATCGCTGGCCATGGATCAGTAGAAATATTGCAGATAATAAAAGTCAGGCTATTTAAATACTCTGGTTTGACATTTGAGGAAGGGAAATTTAGGTGTGCTGAGTTAAGCACTGCATTTGACTATAGGTGGGAGTCAATCGTAGCAGTCTTCAGGTGAGGCCTGAAAGGCAAGAGTACTAACCACTCCCCCACTGAGTGGCCAAAGGAAAGAAAGCAAAATCCACTATTTGACAATTAAATGTTTCCAAAAACAACTAAAACATTAAAAAGCCTGATATTGACTTAGTAATATATCATTAATGTCTCTAAAATGTTTTCCTTCTACTAAACTCTACAACAAAAATTGAACAATATTAGAATTGTCCAAATCTGACTGAAGTTAATCCTGGTGCAGTACCTTATTGTAGATTATAGTAGTACAGACAACACTCCTGTGATGCTGTCCTTCTTTGGAAAGACATTTAACCCAAAGATTCCTGTCCGCACACTGAAGTTCTGATTCAGCAAAGTAATAGTCAATAAAACAAAGTAACAATCTCCTAAAGGCTAATGTGAAGATTTCTGGCCGATCTGAACAAGGCAAGACAAGAATGCCACAAAAATGCAGAGACAAATGATGAGCACAACGATTATTTGTATGCCCAGAGGAAGAAGGAGTTTTGGCTCAGAAATATTGTAATGGAATTATTTTTGTTTGGTATAAAAAAAAAGATATAAATGTGTTTAAAGTTCACTTATAACCATATCTGCAATACCTATGGTGCCCACCAGTGGGCCGTGACCCATCACTTGGGAAGTACCCGTTTTATCAATTAGTGGAGAGAGAAGGAGCGCGGTGTTGAACTCTCCGTTCTGATTGGTCTACACTCCAAACTCGTAAGGCGCAGCGCTCCTATATAAACGCAGGCAGACCTGATGTTGGCTCCATCTGTCATGACAGTCAAAGAGACCGTGAAGAGTCCAGTTTAGAGAGACACTGTCGGCACCACTGCTGTACTTGTTCTTCATTATTTCCACACACATCTGTTCTCTTTTCCAGCGCACACGCTTTTGGAGCGATCTCTTCTTTATGAAGTACACACAGAGCAGGCGGCGTCTCTTTCCACTGAGTTCCATCACCTTCTGTGCTGAGAGGACGATGCCTTTGAGAAGCGGACTTTTCCTCTTGATGGTGCTGAACGCATCTGCATATGAACTGGACCAGAACGAGTCTTATGCGCCCAGGAGAGCACGCTTCTCTTCCAACAGCCCTTGTAAGTATCACGCTGCTCTCATTTGCATATTATCACAGAGTGAAGGCACAGCTTGGCTTTTTTCTTTTTTTTTTTCTTCCTCCTTTACTCCATTAATACCTCTGTGTGCAAGATTTGTTTTCTTTCTGTCCTTTTCTCCCTCTCATTTATGAATTTTTGAAGCCAACGCAGTCTTTTTAGTCTGAGAGAGTGCGTGGATTCAGGGAGAAGGCTGCAGGATTAACGCTGTGGATTTTTGCCGGTGTCCTGCCGGCAACAGATGAGCATGGAGCTTGGTGCTGACACCTGAGAGCGCAGCCTGTGTCATGCTGATAGTCTCTGATGGTTTTGGCCGCAGCATTGATTCAAGTATTCACAATTATTGTGGCATCCAATGGCCTCAATATAGATCATAATATTGATATTCCTTATGGAACCGAGATGCCTTATATCGAACCGAGAATTATGCTAAAGCATTGCACAGTCCTTCATGCATGTCTCACAAAAAGCCACCAGGGCTGTGTCATTTCAATTCAAAACTGCAACACATTTAGCATCAGACAATGCTCTATCAGAAAAAAAAATCTATTTTTGTTTGTAATATCTTTTAAGAAATGACACAGCAAAGCACACAGTCGTGTGGTGTTTATTCAGATGTTGACTTTTGGATATCAGCTCAATGGGTTTTTTTAGGGTGTGGGGGGTGCTGACTCCTTCTGCAGGAACTGCTTCATCATCATATGATTTGAAGCACACTCTCTAGAGGCATCTCTAATGAGAGCCTTCATCTGACTGTGCGGGTCAAAATAAGGGTCCATGATTAAAAGAGTGATGAAGAGACTTGTGATCTTTAGTGACGTTTTGTTTTAATAGATAATACAGAGGACTACAGTTTTGCCTTGTCAGTGGATTTCTGAGAATTTCAAAAATCCAGAGTATGAAAAATGTGAAGATTGTTCTATTAGAGGATGTGGTGAGAGGAACTCAGTTTCCATGTGGCCATAATTGGTATTTGTGTGGAAGATGCTTGTTGCCATTTTCAAAGATTGAATATAGATTGAAGATTGATGATGTGAGTGGGTGTTTGCCTTCATGTGTTGACTTCTGTTGGACTGGTGACCTGTACAGAATGTGCTTCTCCTCCAACCAATGACTGCTGGGACTGGTTGTGACTCTACTCAGGCTAAAATAGTGAAACAAATGGAGTCAGTGATTCATTAATTGTGTAGATTAATCAATTCAATAATTTCTTCAGTTTCTGGTGAAATAGTGTGGAGGTTATTTGATTATTGTTACATACAATATGTCTGTGTATTATTTCTAACAATCTTTGCAGGTAGGAAGTAAAAATGATTGTATAACACAAACATCATCACACATGTAATACATGCATGTTGCTGTGTTGCCTTGGGGCGATTCTGTCTGTTGCCTCAATTTTTCCGTTAGTCTGTGAAACGATTAAATGTTGGAAATGTCCAGTCTGTTGTAGTAATACGATATATGTCAGAGGGAGATACAGGTTGCATGTGAAAAGTTGTATTTGAGGTACATTAGTTAGAGTATATCCATAGTACAAAGTTAGCTCTGAGCATTTTTTTTTTTTTACCAGTGTTTATTCACATCATCAGCTGGTCTATAGAGAGCTGGTTCTATCTACAATGACGACCTGGCCAGCAGAATGTTCAAAACGGTGCTCTCACTGAAAGTAGGCAAATTACACTTATAGCACCCCCTTAAAGGGAGGAGGGTGTAGCTCTTCCTTTTTAAAAATTATTGACCCCCAACTGCCTGAAGGACATACAAAATAATTAAAGTAAATTTAAGGTCACCATTTTTGATAACCTAATAGATGTGATATCCCTATATCAGGGTTCCATCAGAGTTGGCTATGTCAGTGTGTATCTTATCACGGACATGTGCATGCAATCTTCTCTGAATATTTATATTAACTGTAGCACCTGTTTAGTTAAACATTCAGAATATTAAAGTGGTTTTAAACCAGAGGGCTGGAACTCAGTTTGACAATCAAAGCCTGTGCAAAATAATTGAAAACAGTCCTGTGGCACCGTGCATTTGCATGCATGTGTGCCAGCGGTGCAAGTGTATGTTTATGTGCGTGTGTCTCCAGGCACGCCAACAGTTTTGTAGGAAACTGTTTGGTATTTTTGGTGTTGTTCATCCAAGCCCTGCTGAAAAGACTAGGCCAGGAGAAATGCACAAGTGCCAAACAGTATTTGAGTCCCTCAGAGCTGTAAGGTGCCCAGTCTCCAGTCGAGTCACTGTTCGCTCCGAGTGACTGTACAGAATGTCTTTTGTGAATCGCCAAAGTATGGAAGTTCTCTTTTGTCCCTCACATTTTTTGGCGCACACCCAGTTGCCCTCATGTACTCGGCTCAGTGAGTGTGCAGTGATTCCCAGTGAACCCTATGTTGGGCACCCCTGCTGATGCTCTATTCTCTCTGCCCACAGCAGATGTGGCACGCTGTCTCAACAGTGCCCTCCAAGTTGGCTGCGGAGCATTTGCATGCCTGGAAAACTCAACTTGTGACACAGATGGCATGCATGACATATGCAAGTCCTTCTTATACAGTGCTGCTAAATTTGACACTCAGGTATTTACACGATGACACACACACACACTCACAAATATTATCTCATTCTGTCATGCTTTTTCATGCCTGTGTGAAGTATCATATGGGTGTAACTGTCAAACACAGCAAAAGTCAAGCCCTGTGTTCATTCACAGGGTAAAGCATTTGTGAAGGAGAGCCTTAAGTGCATTGCCAACGGCATCACGTCAAAGGCATTCACAACCATCCGTCGCTGCTCCACCTTCCAAAGAATGATATCCGAGGTCCAAGAGGAGTGTTACAGCAAGCTGGATATCTGCACTGTGGCCCGATCTAATCCAGATGCTATTGGTGAAGTGGCACAGTTGCCAAGTCACTTCCCTAATAGGTGAGCTATCGCCTCACTGTACATGTACATGTTGCTTTAGATTGTTGTGGAAGAAAAGGTGAAATCTAAGGATTAGACTGTTGCGTAAATCAAATTAGATTCTAAGGGGACAGGAGACGTGTGGTTCCTGAGTGTGTTCTGGACCGATACAGTTATTTGTTTTATTATATTAATTAGAGTCCAAATAGGTGTTCTGCACAAACGTTAACACATCAGTTGACGACAGCTTTTCAAAAAATACCAATATGAGGGCACAGGAGATCTCTACTTGTTGCTTTTAAAGGACAAAGAGTCACCTGCTTCATACGTCATGGTTATGCTTCGCAGATCGCGTACTCAACTGAAGCTAGAGATACCAAATAATTATGATGTTTAACATGAAATCCTCATCCTGAATACATAAGTAAGTCCTGGAATGACGTTTCTGGACAAAAGGGGTTATATTTTTTTCACTGGAGTTTCTTTTATATCACTTGTTACAACCAGTCCCAATAATTATTAATAAACAACAGGCCACAATCAACATTCCCTTTTTCGGCTATATCACTCAAGTACATTTTAAGTAATTTCTGCCAAACAGCTGTGGGCAGCGTTCACCTCCTGGGAAAGTGTACTGATTACACACTGAAATGTATAAATCAATTGGCTGCAACTGTATACCTTGGCTCTTAAATGTGTTATGATACTTGTGTCTTAGTAACCACCTGCCTCCTACAATGGAAGACTATCAAACAGGGGTATTAAGTGTAGATGTTTTCAGTCCTATTGTTCTTGTTATATCATGTAGGATTACATTCTGGGTGTGGATACTGAAGGACAGGAAGAGGGAGCACAAGGCTTAGAAGACTCTAGAGCCAGGATGGTCACTCCCATATGGATGACATCACACTGTTAGAGAACATGTCCAAATATATAGCAACACTACGTGAACTACTGAGAACATCCACTGGAATAAATATACTACAATCTGTGCTGTTTTTCTAGGTTTTATGGTAAACTGCTGCAAAGCCTGATGGACTGTGATGAGGACACGGTGGATCGCGTCAGGACTAGCATGGTGTCACGGCTGGGCCCAGAGATGACCATGCTTATTCAGCTGCTGCAAAGCAAGCCCTGCCCATCCACTGCTGTGGCTGCAGCTGCCGCCATCCCAACTGGAGTGGAGGGTCGTGGGAGCTGGCGTTGGTCCATGGGTCCCCATATGTACAAGATCCAGCCTAATCTGCGAAACAGAGACCCTGCCAGTCATCATTTTGGCAAAAAACGAGCTGCAAGTGACAGCTCTTAACTTCCTATAATTATAGAAAAAAGAAAACACCAAAAAAAAACCCTACCCTTCGAAAACATCACGAAAGCTCCTCTAATTCCTAGAGGAATTTTTAAAAAATCAATTCCTCCGCTCGACTGGTTACAAAAATACTGTATGGTCCTCTAGGGAATAACCATAGAGTTGATATCAGAGTTTGATTGTTGTTATATTGTATATCTTTCACTTTAGGCTTGAGGGGAAAAAAAACACCCTTCCATTGACTGTTTCCAAGTGTGCGGGCTCACAGTTAGTGTTGAACATGTGGCTGTTGCATCACTGCAACACAATCCTGTTCACAACTCTTCAACAGAGACCAGTCCTACAGATTTCTGATGCAAACAAAAGGAGAAAACAAAAAAAAAGGGTGAGGGTCAAGCCTCTGAGGCACAGATCCATCCGTACCTTAAAAGACAAAAACCACAGCCTGGTATTCCTGACAGCTGTTTGTGTGTAGAAATGTGTAATATAATTACTATTAGTATATAGATAAGAGGGTAACAAACTCATTGATAGATGTGTCCAACATTTCAGCATTGAGAGCAGTCCAATTGTGCGCCTGAGATGTGGAAATGAGTTTCATGTCTATTTTCTGACACAACATAACACTTAAAAGTACTGTAAACCAAGGCTACGTCCACACTACTACATTTCAGATTTAAAAATGCATAGTATCCACACAAGACACTTTTGTTATCCTCTGCAACACCATCTTTCTAATGCAACGAGGGAGAAATCTGTAGCCACTTGTGTTTTAATTTAAAAAGCTGTACGGTAACATTAAGTCTGGACAGTCAGGAAAGGACACATCTGAGACCTTTGAAATTGGCCACAGCTTCTTTATCACGTGTGCTACAAGGCTCATATGAAAACAATAGGCCAAATAAGGCAAATTAGAGAAGTAAATTGGATGTAGAAGTGCACGGTTGAGGATTGACTTTATTGGTTTTATATCTTTTTAGTTGACTAATACCTTCAGTAAACATTTTAATGAAGAATTTAGGAACTCAATCAGCGTTTTAAATCCTCCTTAAATGAGAAAGATATCGCTTTTGTAAAAATAAATTAAATTATGATCCCATCCAGAGAAAAGTGTATATGTAAATGAAGCTGCAGCCCTAATACAAGGCATGTCCTGTTGGGCAAAACACAGAATTTATAACCATTTAAATGATGTGAATTCAAACAAAAAAAGCAGATTCAGCTTCCTGTTCACACCATCCTTATATCCCTGTATAATCAGGTGGTTGAGGACATTTTTCATCTACCAATGCCATTTTTAAATGAAATCACAGCAGTGTGAATGTAGCCTCACGTTCACCTAAGACAGCCATAGCAAGCCCTCTAAAGCAGAGTGCTCATATACAGAGTGGGTCTGTAGAGGTTTCATAATAACCTTTGAGAGGTTACCTTAAACTGACCAAAAAACTTCAAACTGCCCTGAATGCTATTCCTGAAATACCAAAATAGCATCTAGCTATAGCACTTATACATGTCTTTTCTTCTTTTTTTTTTTTTTTTTTTTGCAGTCATGGTCAAGTGTTTTAAAATCATATCCCAGCAAACAGAGCATCCAGGTCATGGCAAGTCTGTCTATCAGGAAAAAAAATCATTTTGCATATCGTATCCAGACACTTGCAATGTATAAGACTGTTGTGCTCTACAGTATACATGGGGCCACATTAGGGGGAATCTGTATCCATGTTAATGAGCGATTGCGCAAGCAGTTGTATATGTGCTGTAGCTGATTAGCGTGTTCACAGCTGAGACTGAGAGCAGCCATCATACAGGACTGATGATCATCATTCTCTGAGGTGAACCATGTGACATACACACTGGCTTCCAGTGTCAAGATTTAAAGTTACTATTTAAAAAATAAGCCTTGTTGGAATGATATTTATTTTCCTACTTTATTATTTAATGTTTTTTTTATTATTTTATGCATAATTGTAGATTTTGATTAGTTTACAGGTTAAGAGAGAAATACATTTGTTTCTAACTCCTATTGCTCTTGTTTGGGGCTACTGAGTACTGTCAGTAGCAAAGGAGGAAAAAACATGATACACAAATGTCGGACATGTGGCCCTACTTGTCTCAGTTTGCATAAGCAAAAACATTGAGGAAGTAAAATGGTCTAGATCCTCAGACTGTGCTTTTTATATTTTATCTGCTCAAAATATCTTCACAAATGCTACACAACATGAGCAGCTAGCTACAGTCCTTTTAATTACCAGCTGCTGTCCTATCTTAGGAAATAGAAGGATATAGGGTGACTAACTCCAGGTATCCTCTATCAGGTTATTCTGCATTTGAAAATTTCCTCAATAATGTGACCAGAAGTAAACAAGTAAAACGAGATGTTATGTCCTCAAGGAGCGAAAGGGCAGACCATGGTCACTTGAGTTAGATGTTAACGTTAGATGTTAAAGGAGTCATCACTGTATTGTAATCGAGACATTAGAATATCTTGTTGGAAATGTACTGCAACTATGACATCAGATTGTACCAGTTGGGACCGATCGTTATGTTGCATAACACTTGAGAGGATATTTTGAGGGCATTAGGTGTAATTCTTTTTAAACTTTTCCCTGTCTGCTCCCTGGAACATTTAGGTTGTGTTATCATAAGACCAGAACAAATATTAGAACAGAACCCAGTTCCTCACACAGTAGTGGGTTGTGTTGAGAACATACAAATGTCTCCTTTAAAGGCAGTAAAGACATCCTTTATGAGCATGAGCTCTCAGCCAAAACAAAAATGAATGGGACCAATGTCATGACTCTGTGCTGGCCATGGGAGAACAAGGTTGGTCAGTTAAGTCAGGTGATTCTACTTTATGGGTGTCACAAGGAACTACAAACAAAACTACATCTTTATTTTGCCACTGCAGCTGCCAGATGTGATGGTTCAGTGCCCATATTTCAGTGTGATCCTATAGAGAGTAACACACATCCCCAGCCAGTAACCTCACTGACTGAAGGTTCTGCGTCAGTGGTCAGTGGTTGGCTTGTGTGAAGACAAATTCCAAACCTAACTGATGTCATTTATTACCTTCATTCCAGCCTGTCTGTATCTTTAATGTCTATGTCAGGGTGTTACGCAGTAGAGAAAGTCACATGCTGCGTTGTTTCAATTAGGTTTAAATCTCAGCAGTAGAGGTTGTCCTCAAAAGCCTCTGAGCATTTGGCTAGAAATCTGTAATATCCATCTATTACAATCAACATTGTGCACTAAATATGCAACAACTGCCATCACTCAGGACATTGATGGGTGTAGTTTGAGCAGATTGGATGCACAGTGACTGTCAACATTAGCCATTGTCCTTACGGCAGTCATCACATTGCATTTTAAAGATGCCAAATTCTGATCCGTGCAGAAAGGTATGTGGCGTTCACTTTGAACAATTCTCCACCCAAATCAGAGCTGCAAGATTACACACAGAAATAAGCAGAATGCTGATGTTTAACAACCACTTCACACAGAGCTGAGAATGGGAAATTTTATAGGCGATTTTACAAGAGCAGTGAGGATGTTAGTGTTCCTGTCTCGGTGAAGGCATATTTCAGGGATTTCGGAGTGTGACTGTATGAGGTATTGATAAATTTTCCACATTGAACATACTGACTGTGTTTTCTTCCTCTTGGCCATTCCTATGATTGAAAACCTGGCTTCTAAAGAGGACAGACTGATATAAAATGTCAGCAACCCTAATGTGATTTTCACCCATTAAAATCGAAAAGGAGCAGCCCTGCTGCTAAAAGTCAAAACTATACTGCTCGGCGCTACTCCAAGTTTGCACCCAAGTGCCACCCATTTATCTACTTAACTCTACAGCCTATGGTTTTACTTTGTACTAAAGGTTGTGTGCCTGTCTATTTAAAATCAGCCAATTTCTCAGAGATCACCAGTTTGCTTGTTTTCCCTGTGTGCATGGGTTTTCTTCAGGCACTCGATTTTCCTCCAACAGTATAAAAACATGCAGATTAGAGATCCCATTGTGTTCACCCTAAATTGATGTTGATTGTTTGAGGTTTTTCTTTGTACATCCCTCTGTGAAATTCTCCTTGCTCACGCTCCTAGCTCATTCCCACTCCAATTTGCTAATTAGTTAAGACCTCATACAATTCCACCACAAAAAAAAATCCTCCTATGAAAGTAAAGCCCCAGCCTGACTAGTCATCTGTTACTGTGCAACTAAGATAAGGACAATCATTCAGGAACAATTCACAGCCAAAACACTGAGGAGCACCATCTGCTGGTGTCAGTGTTTTTTCATCTGCACCTGAAAGATAAATGTTAGCTTGGCATCTGTCACTAGTTTCTGTCAAGCAGGAATTTTGCTAATCTTTGTGCACATTAGAAATGCAATATAGAGATTAACTTTGCACTTGGACTTAGAGTTATTCAGCATCACAGTTCTGAAAATTACTTTTCTTTAGTTTAGTCCTATAGAGGTAACATATAAAAGAAAAAACAAATCCATTAGCACTTTCATAATGATTTTATGAGAGGAACTGAACCCTGACCTTATACATAAAAAGTAAGTCAATATATTGTGTATACATATATATGTATATATTAATATAATATACTAGATTGTTAAGCATAGGCCAGGATGATATACATTATGCATTATTAGGGGTGTCAATCTAATAGCTATAGTAAGATTTCCAAACTATGCAATAATCTCACACTCAAAGGATTCACAGCAGCATGTGTGCTCTCATATACTCCACTAAGTGTGCACGCTCTGCAATGCTCTCCGTTTGTCTTTTTTTTCTTTGTTGTTTACTTTTTCATTGTGAATCTGATCGTTTCTTCAACCTCTTTTAGGGTGTAAAAGTAAAGGTTGTGAAGGAATCCCTTGGGAAAACGATGCAGTAACTATTGCAGTAATATATAGATATATATATATATGTATGAATATATATACATATATGTATATATATATACACACACAGTATATATTATATATCCTTTCTTACTGTTTTATTTTTAATATGCACTTTGCATCTTAACCACTACAAAGGGCATTGAAACATTCAGCACATGTGCAATTGAAACATTACCCAGTGAATCGAAATCTGATCTTTTTATTTTTATTTTTTTTCATCCTAAGGAATCTGGGCTTCTTCATGTTCTCTTGACACATACTGTATGTCTGTATCTCTGTTGTCCATGGGTAATTCCAAAAGTCCCACAGCTGCTGCTAAACTGTACCATCCCTGTGTGATGCTGTCCAGATGCACTCTGACCTGTCGACACAGGTCGCAGCCTGAGCACGGCATTGTTCCACATTTACGTCTCTGCATTTTAATGTCTGTCCATGTTTTTATTTTCCACGTGTATATCTTACATCAGAGAAATATTAGCAAGGGCAAATTGACTGTTTCCTCATCAAGTCCAATGAAATGGTAATTCCAGAGAATGTACCTGTAACACTGAATGTCTGTCTGGACCAGAGCATGCCCAAGTTAGGTGACCCATGAAGGCTAAAGTGAGAAAAAGAGGCCAGGCTTTTCATTTTCTTCTGTTTTAGGGTTTTTTAATCCAACTCTGGGGTGCTTAAGGTGGTACTGCAGTGTTGTTATACAGACCCACGGTGACTTTTACGGAAACTGTTTCTCCTAACGACACTAAAGACTCCCTCACTTCTGGCACTTCATGGTACTCTTTCCTCTCAAGACTTGAAATGAACTGATAAATGTTGTTGTGCTTAAAGAAAATCAAAAAAAAGCTTCAGTGACTCGTAAAGTTTATTTTGTAATC